GTTTCAGGTCCTCCTTACTTTAAGCAAGGAGTTGTTGTAAGAATGTATAAGAATCATTTGGGTATCTTGTGAAATGTAGATTCTGATTTCATAAACCTGAGGTAAAATTGCAAGTTCTCAGCAGATGGTTAAAAATTACATATGATACAATTCTCACCAATGATATGATGAGGAATCTGCTTGAGAACTTCTGAGAAAGAGTTTCCCTGATGAAAAGAAACACCTGGGAAGAAACTACCTCTCTACTTGTGCTTGACCTTGTATGTCTGCTTGTATCAGCTGTAACGGTGGCAGTCATTTGTGACCATGAGAAGCACTACCCTAAGATGTCAGAGTAAAAAGATGAAAATAATTTGGTCCCTGGAGGTCTAGTCCCAAGACTTTGCAATCCTGAAAGTATGTAGTTTGAGGCCACCAGCTGCTCTGCAGGAGAAGGATAAACAAACTCCTCCCGTGTGATTAAATGCCTCTGAGAACCCACTGGAGGGTCAGTTATGAGGTGGTTTTGACTCGATCATATACAACAACAACAATGTTATTTTGTGTTGAATTAGCCAACCCTAGAGATGCTTTCTCCATACCTATTCAATCTATATGCTAAGTAAATCATTTGAGAAGCTGGACTTTATGAAGATGAAACTGGGTCAGACAGAAGTCAGGATCAGAAGATTCATCAATAGCCTTTATTATGCCGATGACACAACCTTGCTGCTTACAGTGAAGAAGACTTGAAACACTTATTGCAGAAGATCAAAGACTACAATCTTCAATATGGATTACATCTAAACATCAAGGAGACAAAAATCTCTACCACTGAGTCAGTAGGTAACATCATGAGAGATAGAGCAAAGATTGAAGTTGTTAATGATTTAATCTTGTTTGGATCCACAATCAACTAACACCCTTGGCACCAGCAGTCAAGATGTATTGCATTTGGAAAAATCAGCTATCAAGGACATGACCAAGGTGCTAAGGCGCAATCATGTCAGTTTAAAGACTAAGATGCATTTGATTTAAGCCACAGTCTTCTCGTTTATTTGCTCTACATCATAAAGTTGGGCAACAAAAAAAGAATGACAGAAGAATCAATGCCTTTGAGCTGTTGTGTTAGAAATGAATACTGAATATCCCATGGACTGCCATAAGAACAAACAAATCTATCTTGGAGAAAGTAGAAATGGTGTATTCCTTCAAGGAAAGGATGGTGAAACTTGGTCTCATATTCTTTGGGCATGTTGTAAGGAGGGACTAGTCCTTGGGAAAAGATATCATACTGGGAAAGGTATAGACTCAGCAAAAAAAAAAAAAAAGAGGAAGACTTTCAACAAGATGGATTGATAGTGACTGTAACAATGGGCTTGAGTACATCAGATGATGAAGATGGCACAGGATAGCGCAAGGGTCAGATCCATTGTTCAAAGCATTGCTCTGAGTTGTATTCAACTCAATGGAACTTAGCAACAACCAGAGTTGTTGTACTTCCAGATTCCTTCTTACCTGATACAGTTGTTTTTGTTAAGTGCCATTGAGTCGAGCAAAACTCATAGCAACTCTATCAACAAAAGATCTGAGCCCTGTTCTATCCTATGCCATCCTCACATTTCCTGACACACAAGAACCCATTGTGGCAGTCACTGTGTCAGTCCACTTGGTCGGGTCTCTTCCTGTCCTTTGCCAACCCTCCACCCTTCCCAGCATCATGTCCCTCTCCAAGGAATAGCCCCTTCTAGCAACATGCCCAAAGTATGTGAGGCAAAGCCTCATCATTCTTGCCTCCAAAGAGCACTCCAGCTTCCCCCTCTCCAAGACATATCTATTTGTTCTTTTGACTGTCTGTGGGATGTTTAGTGTTCTTCTCCAATTCCACAGCTCAAAGACATCAATTCTTTTTCTATCATCCTTATTCATTGTCCAGCTCTCAGATGCAAACATAGCAAGTGGTCAGAAAGACTATGGTCTGAAACAAATGCACCTTAGTCCTCAAACTGACATCATTAGTCCTCAATAATTTGGAGAGGTTCCCAACTGCAGATTTTCCCAGTGCAATGTGTCTCCTAATTTCCTTATTGTCTAAGTTAGTTGAATCTGAGATGGAGAAGAGACTTGACCTTGAGCACATTCTACATTGACGTGTTAACATTCTTTTACATTGCTAAAGGAAGACTATATCACCATTGAATTTTAACTCAAGAATAATCTGTGGAGAAACACCACAGAAAGTAAATACTATTCTCAAATGGAATCAGACTCACAGGGACCCATCACTGGGTTCCTGAAGCTATAAATCTTTACAAGAGACTGTCCTTCTTTATTCTGAGGAGCCACTGGTGGGTTCAAACTGCCAGAGATGCTTGTCCTTTTGGTTATTAACACAGCATATTATAGACTTCACACACACACACACACACACACACACACACACACACACAATCTTGGAAAACAATCCTATACCTGCAGTGGCTACCGCTACTTGAGGAATTTCAACAATATAGCAAAACATTATTCCTACCCAAGAGTAGTCATCTCTTAACTGCATCCAAAGTGAAATTAGAAGACCTTTACAAAAGTTATAATGTTTCAGTTCTGATTTCTGTGAGACATAATCTCAGTAGTGGCATAGCTGAATCAAATGATATTTCTATTTCCAACTTCTGAGGAAGAACTAGACTGCTCTCCATAGTGTTTGTATCATTTTGCATCACATTCTTACCAGAATTTGTTGTTTGCTGCCCAGTTGAAATTTGCTATTGTTGCTGGGGTGAGATTATATCTCTTTGTTGTTTGGGAGAAGGATGGGTAATCTCCTCCCATGTGATTAACTGCCTCTGAAGACTCTTTGGAGGGTCAGTTTTGGATCAGACTCGATGGCACACAAAACCAACAACAACAGTAGTTAGCGAGTTTGAGTATTTTTCCCCCTGTGTTTGTTGGCCATTTAACATTCTTTTATACACACCCAAGTTTATTGCAGCATGACTCACATTTCCAAAGAAATGGAAATAGCCCATCAACAATTGAATGGGTAAAGAAATCATAGTACATTCACATAACAGACCATGAAGCATTGGAAAATAAAGAACTTGTAAAACACTACACAGCATAGATGAGACTGGAACACATTATGCTGAATGAAATAACTCAGTCACAAAGGGACCAATACTGCATAAGCCCATTATTGTAGTAATAGGATAGAGAGGGGAGGGGGTGGACAGTGGGAAAAGAATAGATAGATAATGAATACTGCATTGGGGTGAGTGAAAGGAAAAACATTCTGGAAGGAATGGATGTTTAGAAACCATGTATTTGACAATTAATAGTCTTATAAGGGAATTGGGGAGGGTTTGGGAAAGGAGGAAAGTGTGCATGAATGAATGACTAATTTTTTAAAAATCAGAAATAGTTATTATAGTGTAATCAGTTATACTGTTACCTGTTTCAAGAAAACACATTAGCCAGGGAGAGATGTTTTGCAACACAAGATTCATTTAGGATTGCTTGGAAAAGGAATTAAGTTTTGAAATAGTATCTCCGTTTTCCCAAATGTACACCTAGTAAGTAAATGTGCATGCATGCCTGCCTATTTACAACAGAGTCATACTTACTTGAGACATACTACTCCATTTTTAAATTGTCATTGCTGGGTTCTACCACGGATTGTCAAAGGAAAAATAAGTCTGTCTCGGATAAAGTACAGTCAGAGTGCTCCTCAGAAGCTCTTACGTATTTTGGGCACCTTATCAAGTGGGGCCAGTCCCTGGAGAAAAACCATCATGCTTCGTAAAGTGGAGAATCAGCTAAAAAAGAAGGAAACTCTCAATGAGCTGAAGTGATACAGTGGCTACAACAATGGGTTTAATTAAGCACGGCAGAGATTGTGAGGCTGGGGCAGCATTTCGCTTTGCTGTAAATGGTGTTGCTATGAGTGGGGGCCAACAACCAGCCTACCAACCATCACCTTGAAACTGCTCTTTCCAAAGCAAAAAATAAAACGGTATTTTATGAGCTTGAAAGGCAAATGTAATCTCTAAAGATGTCTAGCTTCTTCAGCCCTGCAATTATTTAAAAAGAAAAATCTTCAAACAATGGACTGTACTTTGCAGGCAGGATTTGCGATTGGATAAATACTAAGTGAGGAGATGACTCAGTGGTAAGGCCTGGGAGCGGTGGGGGAAGGAAGGAGGACTCCGCACTAAAAGAACTCTTAGGTCGTTTTTGTCATATCCATATTCTTTAGACCCAGGAAGGCTTGCAAGCCAAGAGAGTGTGAGAATCTAGTCTAAGAAAATCCAGGACCTTCAGAAACACAAACGATGTAAATGGGAGGTTGCTAAAATCAGGATTCATCTCGCCCAGAATTTGGGCCAGCATTTGGAAAGAGGGATCCCTCTCCTTCCAAGACCTCCAGGGACTGAGGGTTCCGCTAAGGGCCTCACCGCGAGACCTTCTCCAGCCATGGGAGTTCCCCTTGGGATGTCCCTGTCCCTGCCCCCGCTTCTCCAGACAGCCTTAGAGACGCATCTCGCTGACGGCTGCTGACAGTCCCCTGACATCCTCTCGGTCCCTCAGGGCCGCTGCCCCACCCCAGCGGGCAGCGCCACGCCCACCAGGGGTCCAGGGCAGGGCGCATGATGCGCGCCTCAGTCTCGCCATCGTTTGCGGCTGCCAGGCTCCAGGACCCCCTCCTCCCCGTCCGCTGCAGCCCCCGACCCACCGCCCCTCCCGGCGCCGCCCCGCGGGGCCGCCTCTGCAGCTGGCCGCTTGCTGGCCCGCGCCCTCCGCCGCGCTGATTGGCTGGCTGGCTGGCGGCGGCGC